TGGTGCAGAAGGACTCCTGCCAGGTTTGGGGCAGTGGGGGCTGGCTGGAGGGTCTCTGAGTCCCTTCCACTCTGAAATGTGGGAAATTGTCAAGCCCGGTGAGTCACTGGAGCAGAGTGAGCGGTGCTGACTGATGATGCCATCTTCTGACAGGGGACATGGCTGCTGGTGTCTGTCCCTGCTCTCTGCACAGTCGCTGGGCTTGTGAGGCCTGAGGAGCGCCAGCTTTCCCGAATTGGAAGGGGGAATGGAGTGCCATTGGGGGCCCCCAAACTCCCCTCCAGTCCAGGTATCCGTCACACACCCCATTCCTGCCAGGCAAGCCTCTCCACTGTGTGACCTTGGGAAGTGTCGACCTTGCTCTGGCCTCAGTTTCCTCATCTGCCTCATAGAGAGGTGGCCTCAAAGGTACCTTTCAGGTGTGAAATGTGTCTGTGACTCATTCTTCCTAAGAAGGGAAGTAGATATAGATATGTGGGCAAGGGTTGGCAGAGGGCCTGAGTAGCCCCTGAGGTGTGAGGGGGTCACTGATGCGACGCCAGTGTGCTCTGGGTGGACCTTCTTTTTACCAATATCAGAGGGCAGCAGAAGCCTGGGCACGGAGTGTACCAGCTTTGGAGCCAGACTGCTTGGGTTTACTTCCTAGCTTTACCATGTACTTGCTGTGTGACCTTGGGGAAGTTGCTTAGCCTCTCCGTGCTTCAGTCTTCTCTGCTATCAAATAAGGATGCTAGAATCGACTTCATAGGTTTCAGGCAGGTTCAATGAGTTAATGCATATTTATTGCTTGGAAGAGTGCCTGGCACTTACTGAGTGTGTGATAAATGTTAGCCATTAGCAAGTAAAGGTACAGCAATCCTGCTCTTCCCATTTTGAATGTCACACAGGGCTATGGGGTAGAGTTGACAGCAGGAGGGTGCAAAAAGCCCGAACACAAAGTGGCAAGATGATAATAATTAACACGTTTAGCCCTCACTGGGTGCCAGACTGCAGTATATGCTCTATAGTTTTCTTACATAAATCCTTTGGTGTCTTGCAGTAATGTCTATGAGACAGGCGTTACTATTATTCCCATTTTACAGATGATTACAAAAGAGGCAGAGAAAGGTTAAGCAGCTTGCCCGAGATCTTAAGACTAAAAACTCTAGCACAGTGGTCCCTAAGTCTGCTGCACTAAATACCAGGAAGTAGAGTTTAATTATTCTCAAAAACCAGTGGCCCCAACAGAGCCTGGGACCGAGAGAGAGCCTGGAGATAGGAGATAACCAAGTCATCCTGAGCCACTTTGTGGCAGGGCCCAATGTCCATCCTCAGGCAGGGGAGAGCTCAACCCTGGGCTGTGGTGGTTGGGCCTGGCCCCTCCTATGGGGGTTCACTGACAGCTTGAGGGAGTCCAGAGGAGGAGCAGCTGACAGGGCTGGGGTGGCAGACCCAGGGGACGCACCTCGGAGTACTATCCAGGGCCAGAGGAGCCATGCGTGTGACCAGAGGAGCACTGGGTTTGTGACAAGCGGCCTAAGACTAAGCTCTGAGCGCTGTCCAGCAGGGGGCGGTGCAGGTTGGGGGCCTTGGCAGAAGCGCCTTCAGGGGCAGCAGGAGGTGATCCCTGAGGTCCCCAGCTGAGGTGGGCAAATGGGAAGCCTTGGCCTCTAAGCTCCCCGCTTCTGTCTCTCCACCTCTTTGCTGGGGTGTCTGTGTTCAGGTGGGCAGGTGGGGGGAGCAGGGGAGGGTAACAATGGGAGTCAAGAACTCTGGTTCTGGCTCCAGAGGCGGCCCATGTCCTGAGTCACTGGGCTGGGACACATCTCCCTCCTGGTTTGTATCATTGCCTGAGTAGCCTGGTGATAAAGCAGAGGGCTGGGGTGGGTTGGGGCTGGGGCCTGTGCTCGAGCTTGTTTTTAATCCACTGCACTATGGCAGAGGAGCTGCCCCGCCTGGAGTGGGAGTGAGCACCCTGCAGCCTGGGCATCCCTGTATGGGAACCTTTGTGTCGTCCCCGTGCCCGCACCCATGTCTGAACCCACGTGTGTCTGGTTGCTTCTATGTATTTGAATGACCCTGCAGAATGAGTGCAGGTGTGTGTGTGTGTCATGATCTATGTCAGCAGTCTAAGAAGCATACCTGCACATCTGAATTGCTGTGTGCTTGCGTCTGCACACTGCTTTGGTCTCCCAGGGTATGTGATTTGTCTGTCATCCCTGAAGGAATCTGCATCTTGCATGTCCCATCATGGGAGTGTGTACAGATACTTTCAAGTGGGAGCCCTGGGGGTAAATGTCTCTGTTTGTCTCTGTGAGGTTGAAAATGGCTTTATGGTCATCAGCAGTCTAAGAAGCATACCTGCACATCTGAATTGCTGTGTGCTTGCGTCTGCACACTGCTTTGGTCTCCCAGGGTATGTGATTTGTCTGTCATCCCTGAAGGAATCTGCATCTTGCATGTCCCATCATGGGAGTGTGTACAGATACTTTCAAGTGGGAGCCCTGGGGGTAAATGTCTCTGTTTGTCTCTGTGAGGTTGAAAATGGCTTTATGGTCATCTCTGTGGACCTATTTCTCTCTCTCTGTGTGTGTGTGTGTGTGTGTGTGTGTGTGTGTGTTTGAGAGAGAGAGAGAATCAGAAATGGGGCAGTCCTCAAAACACAGACCTCTTCTCTGCTTGCCCCTGCCACCTGCTCCCCCTCCACCAGAGCTGTTCAAGCCACTAACTCTTCTAAAAAGGTAAAAACAGAGGCTTTACAATCCTAACTCTGCATGAGCATCACCTGGAGAACTTCAAACAAAGCTGCTGCCCAGGCTGCAGCTGAGAGATTCTGATCCACGTGGGCAGGGTATTTTTGCTAGCTCCTCAGGTGATTCTAGTGGGCAGCCCAGGTTGCGTGCTGGACTGGGAGGGCAGAGCTCAGGGGAGGAGGCAGTGAGTGTCCTGGGGGGCAGCCCAGTCCTGGAGGGGGTGTCACTGCTGCCATCTCAGGGTATCGCTGAAAGCAAGGTGCTTTGTTGTCATCTCTGGCTGGAGGCTGTCCAAGGTACGGGAGAGTCAACCCCTGACCTCGGAGGCCTTCTGCCTTGTGGCTTCTCTCATCCTCTGCTGGCCAGGAGAGAATGGCCTCCACCTCTGCTGAGAGGCACTGTAGTGAGGCATTCCTCTATTCCAGCCAGGCAGCTCAGCAGGGCCACCTCTCCTCAGGCAGGGCCTTGGGTTTCCCAGGGCTGGTGGTTGGGGGGGAATGAGACCCCTCGGGGCCACTAGTGCCAGGTCACACCAGAGGTAGCTTGTGCCCACCAGGGGTGTGGAGTGCTCTGAGAGAGAGTACAGAGACTGAAGCCTGAGTGCCCAGCATTGCCTGGGCCTCAGGGTGCCCAGGAGTGTTGGGGCCAGTGCTTCCTCAGCCTACCTGGTCCTCCCTGGCCTGCAGGAAGAGGCTGGGCCAGTATTGCCATGGGCCCCTGGGCTTTTCGGAGCATCTCGGGGATACTGGGGCCTCTGACCATGTCTGTGTGAGCCCTGAGCAGGTGGGTAAGACAGGGCTCCCTTTTGTTCAGCCCTTTTACAGCTGGTTTTATTTCTCATTTGCGGGTGCTTGCTGGAGCTTGGAAAGGCCTTGGGGGAGGCAAGGAGAGGAGAGGGAGGTGTGGCTAGGCCGAGAGCCAGGGGCACAAAGGAGCCGGGTAAGGGCAGCTCTGCCCGCTGGTGGGGGGCATGCACAGACGGATGGTTGATACACGTGAAGGGCTTATTCCAGCCTCCACGGCCCACTGGCCCAGCACCTGTGGGTTAGCAGTGCCTCTGCTGTGGACCTGCTCAATGTTTTTCTTAACAATTTAATAATAATAACAATTTAAAAATAACCATGTAGCGTGTGGTGTATGGATCTGTTCAGCGGTGCCTGCTTGATGGGTGCTTTGCTGCCCCTTGTTTGTCGCGGATGTTATTTTAAGTGACACTGTGGTGAATATCCTTGCCTATGCTGCTTTTGGTCCAACAGCAGATATTTCCCAGGTGTGGAATCGCTGGGTTGGAGGTTATGTGTACTGATGAGCACTTGCAGAAACAGAGTAGACTCTTCCCCTGGGAGTGTGCTGGGCTCCCAGAGCCTCCCGACGCGACTCCCTGAAATCTGTCTGGTCCCCACCAGCGGCGCCATCCTGCACGGAGCTGCCGCAGCTCTGAGGCTCCAGCACATTCTTCAGCAGTCACTGCATTTTCTCTCACAGCTCAAGGCTTTATCCTGAAAGCAAAGCGGGTGAGGGAGGGCGAGAGGAGGGTGTGTTTGGTAGGGTACCACGCTGGGTGGCTGGAACAGAGTGAGGGAGCTGGATACATGTTCCTTTCTCCCTCACGTAACAGAGCCAGGTAGGCTGTCCACGCTGGAGGTAGCTTGGCTCCATGAGGTCAGTTGGGGGCCCTGGTTCCTTTTTCAGTGTTGCTCCCCACCCCTCAACCCCCCTACTGTCCCTGTCTGCATTGTAGCTGGGCCCAGCATTTGGGGAGGGTGAAAGAGCTGGCGTGGAGAACATGCCGTGCCCTCGTGGACAGGGGCTGCCAATGTGGCTCACCCACGTTCCATAGGTGGGGACTTCATCACATGCATCACCTGAGAGCAGGGGAGACCGGAAATGTCATCTCTTGGTGGGCATGTGTGGACCAGCTAAAACCATCTCCATGGCAGAAGGGGAGAGTGTAAAGATTGGGGGGCCAACTCCTCCCCTGCAGAGGAGAAAGCCATTCTCGACCATGCCAGTAGATTGGTGGGGGGCTTTGTCCCCTGGATCTGAGTGCCTAGCACAGACTGAGTGCTTAGCAGGTGTTTGTGGGGTAGAAGAATAAAGAACAGGAAGATGCAGGCAGGGAAGAGGGTCACCCTTGGAGGCTGAGAGCCGTGCTGTAGGTAGGGGAGGGTAATGAGGAAGGGCAAGCGGTCTCTGCCCTGCCCACCGCACTGGACTTGCAGGGTTTATGCCTTTCCTTCCTCTCCAGCCCACAGACACCTGGGGGCCGGCCAGTGGCTGCTGTGAGTGGGAGGCCCACAGTGCTGGCCCAGAAGCACCATGGCTGCTGTTGCATGGGTCTCTCTGGCTGCTCTCCTCCTGCTACCTGTGGTAAGGGCCCAGGACCCTCCCTTCCATGACCAGCTGGAGCCCCAAGCTCACCTGAGCCCCCACGCCTGAGAACCTGTGCCTTTGTGTGCCCTCAGCTAAGCTATTCACCTGGCTAGTATCTCTGCCAGCACCACCACTGGACCATCCAGTACCTTTGTGCAAATTAGAAAAGGTGTCCCTTCCCCAAGATTCCATACTGATTTGACCAGAAATTGTTATGAAGTTTACAAATCTCATGATGGTGATATGTGTGGTAACCTTCAGAGTTGTACGGTACACAACCTGCTCAACTGTAGAGCCCTGTTCAGGACTGCAGAAGACTTTTGATCTTCTAGTCCTAGCCCACAAGGTCCTGCCAGGTTAGAACTCAGAAGCCTGCCCTCTGCTCATGTCTCTCCCTGGGCAAGGGTGGAGGTGGGGAGTGGGAACGGAGGGTTCCTAGTATTGGCCTCACCACTAGATCTGGGAGCTCAGAACAGCAGAGGGTGAGGCTGTCCTCAGAGCCCTGGGTCCCAGTCCTGCCTGTTTTCTGCCTCTGTGTGTGACCATGGGCAATCCTGTTCCTCTCCCTGGTAGCTGTCTGCACATCTGTGAACAGCTGGGATTGGTTTGTATCCCTGAACATGACCCTTGACAGCTCAGATACTTTGTGATGACATTCCTCTAGAGAACCATCCCTGCCCTGGGGGTTTGAGTTAAAGTGACACTAGTGGGAGGCAGCTGTCATGACAGCAGTTCATGGGCCATGAAGCTGCTTGGTCCTGAGCTGGAATCTTGTGACCTTGGGCTGGAGGTTCTTAACTTCTCTGAGCCTCAGTTTCCTCTTATGTAAATAAGAGTCGCAAGTAGGCCCCACTGAATGCTACCAGGACTCCTTCGCCTGTAGCTTCTGGGGGTGCACTTCCTTCCTGAGCCCTCAGAGGAGAGAGACAATGAACTTTCTCACCCTGCCCTCTCCCCCGCCATTTGCCTTCTCCTCTAAAGTGCAGTAGTAGCCTCATGGTCTCTGGAGCCAGACCACCTGGTTCAAATCCTGGCTGTGCAGTCTACTAAGCCATGTGACTTTGAGCAAGTTATTTAACATTGCTTAACTTTCCACATCTGTGAAATGGAAAATGAAAAAAATAGTACCTACTTCATAGTACTTTTGAAACACACACACACACACACACACACACACACACACACACACACACACACACACACGGCAGTCAGAATAACGCATGCACCTAGTAAAGTGCTATGTCTGTGTTTGCTAATATTCTAAGACTAAAACCCAGGAAAGAAATGCAGGAAACTGAAACCAGTGAGAAAGAAGTGGGATCTGCCCAAGGCCATGCATTGAGTTGATTACCAAGAAGGGCTCTCATGGTATCTGAGCCCCTGCTGCCCTGACATCTCTGTCACTCTCCTTTTCCTGCTTCTGCCCCTGCTGTACCCCGGAACTGCCCCTGGGCTTGGGTAGGAGGGCTTGTAGATGGATCTCCCTGCCCCTCCTGCCATCCTTCCCTTGTGTCCCCTGCAGGTCACCACCATGCACTCAGACTGCATCTTCAAGAAGGAGCAAGCCGTGTGCCTGGAGAAGATCCAGAGGGCCAATGATCTGATGGGCTTGAATGATTCCTCCCCAGGTGAGCAGGTTGTGGGGAGGGCACGGCATCCCCTGCACATCCAGGCCAGCCTTCAGAGTGGTTTCCCAGCCTCTAGCCCATCTCGCAGAGAGTGGTGGAGGGTGCAGGTTTCTGGGACCTGCAGAAAGCCCTCTGGGCAATGGCGTCCTGGATCTGCTCTGGGCAGTGACATTGGGGTTGTCCTCTTGAGGCTTGTCTGCCTGGATGCCTTGGGGCTGTTCTGGGGGGCTGAATGTTGCTGCCTTCCTTCCCACGGGGCTGGGATAGAGCCGGTGCCTGGGCAGCGGCTGTCAGAGAGCTTGTTAGCAGAAGTCTGGGCCTGGCAGCAGGGACACAGCTGTTGCTGGTGGCTGAGCTGGAGAGCACCTGGTCAGCCCAGGGCAGGTGGTGGGGGGTTGTGTCCCATCTCCTCTGCTCATTGCATCAGAAGCCAGTGAAGAAAGTGGCAGCAGGAGACCCAGTCCTAAAGCCTGTGTGGTGCAGTGCTTCTGCCAGGGCTGCTGGGAGCCTTTGGGGGTAGTGCTGCTTCCTTGTGCTGGATGGGGCCATGCATTGCAGGACCTTCAGCATCCTTAGCCTCTCCCTTTAAATGGCCATAACACCCCTGATCCCAGTGACAACCAAAAACTGCCTTCTGACACTTCAAATGTCCCAAGGGAGTGGCACAGCCTTTGGTGAGAGCCAGTGGTCCTATGCAAGTCCTATCCTCCTAACTCCCCCATGTGCAGCTAAGGCCCACAGAGGCAGAGGCACTCTCAGCTTCCCACCCACGGGGAAGTTGGAGATTAGGGGTGGGCGTCCCAAGGCCTCAACAGCTTCACTTATGCCTCAGTTGCTAGAGGGCTGGCTCCATGTCCGCTGGAGGTTGGGGCTCTCTGCTCAGGCCAGAGGGATCCACTTTTCCCTCTGATCCTCCCAGCTCTCTGAGCACCATCTGTTTAAGTGCGTGATTAATCTGCAGCCCATTTAAATGTAGTGGTCCCACTGGACTGAGCTCTCGGCCAGTTGCTTCTTGGTGAATATTATACTGGTCGTACAGCTGCTCCTGGCTGTGACGGCCTTTCCCTCTAGCCAAGCTCCTGCTCGGCCCTAACTGAGGCTGAAAGTGGATTCTAAGCCCCACCAACTAGGGAAACAATCAGGGGGACCAGATGGGTGCACAGCTGGAGGAGACCAAAAGGCTATCTGAAGAGTGCCTACCTGGTCCAAGTCTCTTGTTTGGAGATGGGAAAATGGAGCCGTGAAGGCAGTGACTGTTTAGACCACAAGGTAGTGTGTGGTCGAGGTGGGTCTGGACCCCAGGTGTCCTGCCTGGCATGTCTTAGATACATCTGGGGTTGAGCAGTAAAAGCATCTGGGGCGGGGAGAGTAAAGGTGGGGCAGAGGGTGGGGGCAGGGTCGCAGGTGAGCTGTGTGCTGTCCTATTGCACACTGGTCCCTTGAGCCCTGAGCTAGGAGAGGACAAGGCAGGGTTGCTCACCAGATGTCCTGGCAGAAGCAAGAGAGGCAGACATAAGGACAGATGCCATCATCCCAGGAGTGGGGAGGCCAGGGCCAGGAGGAGGTCTCACTCCAGGCGTGTTTAGGAGAGGAAACGGTGAGTTCTCTGTGGGGAGGGTGGGGAAAGATTGTGGAGAAGGTGGCGTTGGAACTTGACCCTTGGTTCTCAAACCTGGCTGCACATGAGAATCACCAGGGGATCTTTCAGAGCTATGTACTCAAGCCACAGCCCAAACTGACTGAGCCAGAACCTCGTGCCTGCCGTAGTCACCATCATTTTTAAAAGCTTCCTGGATGATTCTAGTCAGAAGCTAGAGCTAAGAACTCAACTTCTGAGCTAGGCCCAAGGGGTGGGTAGGCATTTGGCGGCAGGTGAGAATCGAGGGATGGATGAATGGGAGAAGATTCTAGGCTGAAAGGACTACAGGAGCAAGAGGCCAGGAGGCAGGAGCCTGACATTTTGGAGGACAGTGAGTAACCCTGAATTGGAGGGCTAGCAAGAGGGCGTGGCTGAAGGCCCAGGGAGCAGGAGTCTGGATATTTCATGTAGGGGACAGCAGTGGCTGGCTCCACTGGGCTGCAGCTTCCCCCAGGACTGCGCCCGGTCCTCCTCAAGGGCACGATGATCAGGGCCAGCCATGAGTCACCCCCAAACCTCCACTTGGGCGGGGGGCCCCCATCCTGTGGGAGAAACTCACCCACTGCCCATTCATTCACTCACCTGCTCACTGGCTCACCCTCTCACTTAGGCCTGCAACCCTCTCGTTCACTCACTGGGCTCACAAGAAGAGCTGGCATCTTAGGTGTCTGGCCTGGGTGCAGAGAGGACAAGGCCAGAGTAGGGAAGTGCAGAGAGAGATTTGCACTCCAATAGCCCTGATTGTAGCCCTGACTCGAAGTTCAGAGCTAGTGCTGTGGGAATTCATAGGGAGGAGGGGGCAGAAACCACTTCCTGCTGGGCAGGGTAAATGCAGGTGATGGGCTGGGGGCTGGGGGAGGGACTTTAGGAAGGATGTGTTCATATCAGGCCTGTAGGATGGCAGGTATGAATTCTCCAAGAGGCAAGAGGTGAGGGAACAGCTCTTTTCTAACCCTGAGTGCCCAGTGGAGAGAGGAGGCTGTACCCTCCCATAATCTGCTTGAGGAGAGGGTCCCTCATCTCTCCCTACTCCTCTCTCCTTTGAGTCATAGGGTGGGGCTCTATAGGACAGAACTGGGAGCTAATTAAGCAGAAGCAAAGGGCAGCCATTAGATGTGGAAGAAGAGACTGAGGGCCCAGCTGGACCACAGCTCCATGGCTCTTCCTTGCTCTGGCCTTCAGGATCTCCTCTTTTAAAATGAGGGGTGTGGGATGGGTCATGTTAATAGCCAATACTTGTATACACTTAGTATGTGCCAGGGCCTGTGCTGGTTTTTTAGTCTACCACCACAGCAACCTAGAGGGTTGGTCTATTAGTACCCCTATTTTTTAGATGAGGAAACTGAGGCATAAGGAGGTTGTGTATCTTGAATAAGGACACAGTCCATTAAGAGGCACACGTGGAACTTGGAGTCCGGCAGCCTTTGCCTTCAACCACTGGTATACACTGCCTCAGAACAACGTGCTTTGAGTCCCAGCCCTCTCTCCACCCAGTCACCAGCCATGGGACCTTTAAAGGGCACTTAACACCTTCATTTTCTTGTCTGCATAATGGAGGAAAGAATAGTACCTACCCCATAGGATTTTTGCATTAAATGATAAAATCTGTGGGAAGTGCTAAGGACAGAGTGTGGAATTTGCTAGGTACTCAACAAAGACATTGTAGTTATTAAGAGTTGTCATCTTACAGTGTCGACAGTCTCCAGGGTCTCCCATCTTCTGCTAGATTTGAGTTCTGGGGAATACAGAGACATCTCTAGGAAACAGGTCAGTGCTGTTTGCAACAATCTGGGAAGGCTTTCTGGCAGAGCAGGGAGGGGTTGGGGACCAGGTCCAGGCTTCAGAGGCAGATGGAGAGGCATGGGAAGAGGGGAAGAAAAGTCCAGGTGGGGATAAGTTTGGATTACTTGCCTGTTACCTATGAAGTCCCACAGCAGGAAGGGTGGAGGGCAGGTGCATTCAGAGGTTCCAGAGTTTGTGCTCCTCACCATGCAGTGTGCACTGCGGCTCAGAAGAGCAGTGAGGACATCCCCCCACCCCCAGTTTTCCGCCTTGCTGGAGTGAAAGGTCATATGACAGAGGAAGTGGAAATGAGGCTGCGGAGGAGTGTTGGGGAGGGCATTGATGTGCTCAGAGGCCTGCACTTCTCTTCCCTATGAAAAGGCCAAAGGGTGTTTGTTTTTCTACAGCCTGGGATAGCAGGAGGTCTCAGCCTCTAGTGACCTTCTTGGGAAGGAAGGGGACAGGGCAGGGTGAGGGGCGCCCCCTGGGGAAGGCTGACCTGAAGAATGTCCATCCTGGCTCACTTCAGGCCTGGGAGAGTTTATCACTGCAGGCTGAGGTTGGAGGACCCTCCTCAGGGGGCTTCAGAGCAGGCAGCTTCTGGGTGCCTTTCCAGGGCTTGGTTCCTGGGAGATCATTGACCTGCTGTCAGCTGCCATGGGGAGGGCCCTACTTTCCCTCCTGTGGCCCATACGAGCCCCAGGCCTGCTCCTAGGGCATCCACTGTTGGAGCTGAGCTTCCTGGCTCCAAATTAAAGACACTTCTGAAATATGGGCAGTGGCTCATCTCATGGCATTGTGTGGCACATTAAAGATGCTGCTGTTCAGACCCCTCCCCAGACCAACATCATCAGCATTTGGGTGGGGGGGCTCCATGGGCATGTATAAGAAGCCTCTAGGTGATTCTAAAGTGTATCCAGGTTTGAGAGCCACTAGTTTGGCAGAGAACAGGATGCACCAGGGTGTTTCTGTGATCTCGGGCCATAGAACAGCCCCCCCAGGCACAGGTACACCAGGCTGGGAAGCTCACTTCTAGCTAAGAGTCAAATTTGAGAGTAGCAGAGAATCACAGGTGTGCATTATGTTGTTTATCTGTGCTTGGGGCGAACTGGGAGAGGACAGCCCTCCCGCCGCGCCCCTCCTCTGCACCTCCCCTGCCCGGGATGTCCCTAAGTGCACATCGTGCACAGAAAGCTGGCCTGAGGTCAGCTGATGCCCTTGAAACACTTGAAAATGGATAAAGAAAGCCTGACAGCTTGTTTGAGTGCCTGTGAGTGTGGACTCACTGTAGTGCTTGTATGTCCACATGAGTATGTATCTTTTACACACTTTTAATATATTTATGTATACGTTGTGTATGTCCCATAATCTTTTAAATCTAGTTAGTAAATTCAGTCAGTTGGAATGAGAGCTCTGATTTGTTAGAGGTGAGGTGTCCATGACTCTGTGTGGTTGTGGAGATGGGGGGGGCCCCCCGAAAGGCACCTGCATTCCCCAGAATCCTTGCTGCTCCCCCAAGAGAACATGGGCTGGTGACATATATGTGGCCTTCAGATTGGAGGCCAGAGACAGAGACACG